GCCTACCTCTGGTCTCGACTCCGGTGCTGCCTTCAACATTGTCCGTTTCCTTCGCAAGCTCGCAGACGCAGGCCAAGCTGTTCTGTGCACAATCCATCAACCCTCCGCTGTCCTCTTCGAGAACTTCGACGAGCTTCTTCTTCTTAAGTCAGGTGGTCGCGTAGTATTCCACGGTCCTCTCGGTCACGACTCGGAGAACCTCATCAGTTACTTCGAGTCCAACGGCGGTCCCAAATGTCCTCCTCATGCCAACCCTGCCGAGTACATGCTCGATGCCATTGGCGCTGGTAACCCCGACTACGACGGACAGGACTGGGGCGACATCTGGGCCAACTCTTCTGAGCGCGAGAAGCGTGCGCAGGAGATTGAGGAGATGACTGAGCGCCGTCGCAACGTCGAGCCTTCCAAGAGTCTCAAGGACGATCGCGAGTATGCTATGCCTTATACCACCCAGACATGGGCCGTCGTTCGTCGCAGCTTCATCTCTTACTGGCGATCACCCGACTACATCTTCGGTAACATGATGCTGCACGTCGCTACTGGTCTCTTCAACTGCTTCACCTTTTACAAGGTCGGCTTCGCATCAATTGATTACCAGAACAGACTGTTCTCCATCTTCATGACGCTTACCATCAGCCCGCCGCTCATCCAGCAGCTACAGCCCGTCTTCCTCAAGTCTCGTCAGATCTTTCAGTGGCGTGAGAACAACGCCAAGATCTACAGTTGGTTCGCCTGGACCACTGCTGCCATCGTCGTTGAGATTCCCTACCGTATTGTCGCGGGTGGTATCTACTTCAATTGTTGGTGGTGGGGTGTCTTTGGCTGGCGGGCACCGAGCTTCATCTCAGGCTTCGCGTTCCTGCTTGTCCTCCTCTTTGAGCTGTACTATACCAGTTTCGGACAAGCCATTGCTGCGTTCGCTCCCAACGAACTCCTTGCATCTCTTCTAGTCCCGCTTTTCTTCCTCTTCGTTGTATCTTTCTGTGGTGTTGTTGTCCCACCCCAAGGCCTGCCCACCTTCTGGCGTGAATGGATGTACTGGCTCACACCCTTCCATTACCTCCTCGAGGCTTTCCTCGCCGCCGCGATCCATGACCAGCCTGTTCGCTGTGAGGAGGGTGAGTTTGCGCGCTTTGAGCCTCCTTCAGGTCAATCGTGCTCTGAGTACACTCAGTCATTCATTGAGCGCGCCGGTGGCTACGTTCGCACTGGCCAAGATGGCTTCTGCGAATTCTGTCAATATGCGACCGGTGATGAATTCGGCGCTAGCTTTAGTGTGTACTACCGACACATTTGGCGCGATTTTGGCATCTTCTGCGCCTTTATCGCGTTTAATTATGCTGTTGTTTATTTCGCCACATGGCTGCGATTCCGGGGCAAGAACCCGCTGAAGAAGGTTATGCAAAAGCGCAAGTCTTAGAGTGGATGTGGATGGGCAAGATTTTAATGTCCAAGATCGGATACCTTGGTTAGACTTATAAATTAATTACATACGATTTAATACACGATTTTATCACTCATTACTTAACAAGACCATCGTCGTGATTGTTGTTAAGACGGCGAGGATCAAGGGAACCCGACCGTACTGCAGATGATCAGTGTGTGTCTCATCGGGATAGCCTATCTAATCTACCGCCAAGCCACGGTTGTATCCGGAGCAAAGCCGCCGACGGGCTCGAATCATTGACAGGTCTTCTGCACATTTATGAGACACTTCAGCCATTGCATTGCCTATTTGCACCGGCAACTCTCGAAGCGAAATAGGCAGATAACATTATTCACGAGTCATTCAATCCGCGGATACTCAAGGGCCTCAGTCCGCGGGTTTTAAAAGACCTGAAACCCCCAATAAAAAAATTCCCTTCGTTTGCATAAGGGTCCGTGGGCCGGGACAGAAAATAGGGGCGTTCCGGCCGAAAGTTGCATAACTCTGCACAAAGTCGGCGAAGTTGCATAACTAACGGTCCGGCAGATCTGATTCCCGGGTGGGGTCCCGCATAAAACCGTCGCATATCCTATTCGCATCGGGTTCTTGATCATCTCCGATACCTTGCATATTGATACTCTGATTGGCTGCTAGTCTCGTCTTGTTGGTCGGTTTCGCTTTGGTCATTAGTTAGTGGCTTGCATCGTTGTCAAACGTGGTGCACTCAAATAGATTTCCTTCCTTTGCAACCCTACTTGGCTTCTCTATCTTGGCTTGATCATATTCTTGGTTCTTGAGACATCATGGCTACGAACGATTCTTCAAAGAGTATCGAGATGGAGGATGTTCGACCTGGAAGTCAACGAACGCTTACACCCTCGGATAATGTCAGTGTGACAGGTAAGGTGCGGGATGAAGAGGCGCCTAAGGAGCAAGATGTTGTGCAGCCACAGGATCCCAACGCTGTTGGATGGGATGGACCCGATGATCCCAACAATCCCATGAACTGGTCTGGAAAGAAGAAGTGGTCTTGTATTGGTGCTTTGTCGGTTATGACCCTTCTAACGTAAGTTGAGACCCCATCTCCGCCTGGTTATGTATTAGTTGACTAACAGAATTCAGACCCCTCGTATGTACCGACACTCAAGAGATATCTGATGCCGTATGCCTAACTTGTATAGGGCTCATCGATGTTCGCACCCGGTGTCCCAGACATCATGCGGGAATTCGAAACCTCGAACCGCAACATCGCCACCTTCGTCGTCTCCGTCTACGTCCTCGGCTTCGCTTTCGGTCCTCTCTTGGCTGCTCCCCTTAGCGAAACATACGGCCGTGCCATCGTCTTCAACGTAGCCAACGTCCTCTTCCTTATTATGACCATCTGCACCGCCCTGAGCCAGAACATGCCCATGCTCATCGTCTTCCGTTTCCTGATGGGCTTCTTTGGTTCCACGCCCATCACCAACGGTAGTGGCACTATCTCTGATATCTTTCCTGTGCAGGAGAGAGGTAAGGCCATGGCTGTCTGGGCTATGGGACCTTTGCTAGGACCCTGTATTGGACCGCTTGCAGGTGGTTACATGGTTCAAGCTATTGGATGGCGATGGGTGTTCTGGGTGATTGCTATCTTCGTAAGTTGTCTAATTCGAAAGGGGAAATGCTTGTGCTGATAACATTATAGACTGGTGTTGTCATGGTCCTCTGCTACTTTGTTGCACCGGAGACGTACGCACCTATCCTTCTTCGTAAGAAGGCAAAGAAGCTCCGAAAGGAGACAGGCAACCAAGATCTCTACTCTGTACTGGACGTCGCTGGCGTCACAGCCAAGCAGCGTTTCCAGGGTGCCATCATCCGCCCGATGAAACTCCTTGTAACTCACCTTCCAGTCTTCATCCTCTCACTCTACGTGGCTATCGTCTACGGTGTGCTATACCTAATGTTCAGTACCTTCACCTTCGTCTTCGCCATGCAGTACGGTTTCGGAACAGGAACAGTCGGTCTGGCCTACCTCCCTACTGGTATCGGTATGCTCTTCGGCACAATGACCTTTGGAGTCTTGACGGATATTGTTGTAAAGAAGAAGATTGCCAAGAATGGCAAGACGGTGCCTGAGGACCGACTGCCTATCTGGATGACGCTACCTTCTGGTTTGCTCATTGTTGCTTCTTTGTTCTGGTACGGTTGGTCGACGGATCAGCACACGCATTGGATTGTGCCTATGATTGGCGTTGCCCTTTTCTGCTTTGGACTTATGGGTATTATGGTAAGCCCCAGCTTTATCACCTGTTTTGTATCATTGCTAACACAACTAGATGTGCCTGCAAACATACCTCGTCGATGCCTACATCCAGTATGCGGCTTCAGTGGTTGCCGCCATGACTGTCCTTCGATCTCTGGCTGGTGCCCTGCTTCCTTTAGCTGGTTTGTCCATGTATGACGACCTTGGCCTTGGCTGGGGTAACAGTATTCTGGCTTTCCTGGCTCTAGTGCTTGTGCCTGTGCCGGTCATATTCTGTTTGTACGGACCCAAGATCCGAGCAAAGACTCCCAACAATCTTGAGTAGACTGGCCTTCTATCGTTAAGACCACGTTGGAATTTCGGAGTGTGTTAAGAAGCATGCATTGCAGGTGTTGGATGCCATTTTGTTTAGATCACTTGTCTAGATGACCTTTCCCAGATATGAAAATTGTAATTAGAAGGTTGTCATACCTATCGTCATAGAATTCCTTTCCTCAAAAGTTTAACGTCTTTCGTCTGAAGAATCACTTCCCGAGTTCTCTTAGCATGTGACTTTGGCCTCTTGTCCGTATCAGGCAACTCGTCTAAGCTGAATTCTAGCGTGGAGCTGACCCTGCAACACCTTTCAGCCTCCGATAAACGGCATCTCGTCCCGTCCAGTAAAGACTTCGAGGGTGAACGTTCGTGACCTAACAATCACCTCGTAAGGAGCGAGCTCGTTCTCTTCGCCAAGTCAGTTCGGGACCAAGATCATGAGCTTACTTGGCTGACTCGATCGATCACGATGATCTGATAAGATGAGCATCGGATGATCCTGCAGGGTGCCTTCTCAGGTTGGTGGCAAACCCATCGCAACTGAGATCGATCACCTGTCATCCGAATATCGCAAAAAAGACCGTTGCAGTAGGCTGACAATCCGACAATTTCCAGAAGTTCAAACCCGAAAATCTCTGACCAGAAGCCCCTATTCGTCTCCGAAGCGAGCAAGTGGCAACCAGCGTGAAAGATCCGAGAACTATCCCCAAGTCAGTCAAGCTTCGAGAAGGTCTTGCAAACCTGAGGCTTTTTTGCACCACTTGTCGACCCATACGATTTACCTCCGGGTTCTGGCAGCCAATGGCGCGAAGATCAACTGCGGATCTGATAAGATTAGATGGACCCACGACATGGCTAGTGGCCTGACGGGTTGTGGGTGAGCGGAATCGCTCCGTGGGTGATCAACAGATATAAACTGGTGATTGCGGCTCATCCAGTCAAGAAATTCTTTGCTATCTTCTGTGAGAAACACTGAAATGGCGGCTGATAACAGTTCAGAACAACGCAGCTCAGGCGATGTTGAAGCTGCGCGCAAGGAAGCGACCTCGACACACGAGAAGCATGTTCCCGACAATACAGATATTCTCAGAGAGTCATGGTCCAAGAAGGCCTTGATTATTGCTTTTACTGGGTATGTTACGGACCTCCTATTTCCCAATACCAAACTGACTTAGACAGTCTATTTGCCACGGCATTCATCACCTCGTTCCTCAAATATGCCACCAAAGTTTACGATGCGTACGCGACATCAGCCTTCCAGAGACACTCAGCTCTCGCTACTGCGAATGTAGTAGGAACGATCATTGGGCTGGTCACATATCCCATCATGGCCAAATTCTCCAACGCAAGTATTCCATTTCTAGAGCATACTATGCATTAGCTGACAGGATGCAGGTCTTTGGTCGCGCTGAGGGCCTTACCTTCTCGATCCTCTTCCTTGTTATCTCACAAATCATGTACGCAGCATGCCAGAATATTGCGACCTACATCGTAAGTCTCGGCTATCCCAGATTTAATTGATCAGTACTGACAATCTCTAGGCTGGAGGCATCTTCGAGTCAATCGGCGACACCGGCTACGTAATAATGCAACAAGTCTTCATCGCAGACACAACAAGCCTCATTAACCGCGGTCTCTGGACTTCCCTCCCCGAATCGATCGCCTCGATCCCAACACTTTATCTCGGTTCGATCGTCGCAGATAGTGTTCTCAAGCACTCAACTTGGCGATGGGGGTACGGAATGTGGGCTGCCATTCTTCCTTTCTGCGCTGCTCCTCTGATCATTACACTTTATATCCTACAAAGGAAGGCTCGAAAGGCTGGATATAGAAGAAAGGGCGCTTGGGATGCTGCAGATAAGACTACGTCCTTGAGGAAGCGTGTGGTTAACCTTGTCTGGGTGGACCTCGACATCGCCGGTGCCATATTGCTCGTCGTTGGTCTTGGTTTGACTCTTATTCCACTATCACTTACTGGCGCTAAGAACAGCGACCGTTGGGATCAAGGGGGCTACATAGCCATGCTCATCATCGGAGTCGTGGTGATTGCTGGCTTCTTTGTTTGGGATACAAAGTTTGCAAAGGTCCCCTTTGTTCCATTCCGAATGATCAAAGAGCGAACGGTTGTGGCAGCCTGTGTCTTGTCTATGCTTGACTTCTTTCACTACTCTTGCTTCACACTCTTCTTCCCTAGTTATCTTCAGGTTGCTGGAGGCTTCAGCCCCGGTCACGCTACGCGCATTGAGTAAGTTCACAGAATAAACGCAAATATGCGTGTTACTAACTCAATTGCCTAGCAATGCTCTCCGTGTGGCATTCCAGATTGCCTCCGTCCTCGTAGGTGTACTCATGAAGTATACTAAGCGCAGTCAAATCTTCGTCTTCATCGGTGTTCCTTTCTGCGTTCTTGGACAAGGCCTGATGATTTATCTGGTAGACATGAACGGGGACCACGCCAACGAAGCTTCTTTTATCACCGCAAAGGCGCTTGTAGGAGTTGGTCGGGCGTTCTACCAAACAGCTGCCCAAGTCTCCATCCAGGCTCTTGTTGCCAAGGAGGATGTCCCTGTTGTCACGGGCGTTTACTACGCAGCAATGAACTTTGGTGCTGCTGTCGGTACCAGGTATGCTTCCCTCTCTCACTCTTCATGGGACAACCTACTAATCATTCCAGTGTCGGCGGCGCAATTTGGAACAACATGCTCCCCAAGAAACTCACAACCTACCTTCCCGAAAGCGCCAAAGCCAATGCCTTCAAGATCTACAAGTCTATCGTTGTCGCTCAGAAATTCGCAAAAGGCACACCTGTTCGGGCGGCCATTGACCAGTCGTACCGCGAGACGCAAAGGCTTCTTGCCATCGCTGCGACATGTGCGCTTGCGCCTATGCTTGTCGTCATGTTTGCCCTCAAAACAGTCGACTTGGCCAAGGTTGATGAAGCAAAGATTGATGAGAATAAGGCTGGTGGCAAGGTTGAGCCAGTCGTGGTGCGAGAGACTGTTCAAGATGCTAAAACCGAGAATCATTAGTTCGAGCGTGTTTTGTATAGGTAGTTTTCTTCTCTGTCTGGCTGGGATAGTTTAGTCACGACTCCAGACTTGAATATTATGCAGTTTGTATTAAGTTGAGATTCCACGACTCCACTGGAAATGAAATCCCTCGTGTACCTTACAGCCCCCCAGCAGCTTCATATCACCCTAAACATATTCGACTTGACACCTCTCTTAAGCCCCTCTGCCTTTCCACCCTCATATTCAACTCCAGCACCACCGCCTTCTCCCGAGAGGCCTTCGAGCTTCTCTCTTAATTCCTGATCCAGTTCTGCCAGTGTCTTTTTCTTATGAGTCGCCATCTTGGTTGTGTCTTTTGGTGTTGTAGAGTCCTGCTTCTTTGACTGTGTCTGGGTCGTAGCCTGAGATTGAGGCTCGGATTTTGTGTTATTGGACAGGGCGCGAGGAGAGGTTGTGCAGATTGGTCTTCTAGTGGCTGTGGCCCTGAGCCTTCTTGTAAGGATAGCGCGATTCATATTTATTCAGCGAATTTGAGGTTGTTTGCTAATTGGATGCGTGAGTGTGAAGAGAATTGGCCACGATGGGTGTCATGATGAAATTTACGCTGACTAAGGCTACTACGTCATTGACGGATGTTATCGTGACAGCATAATTCAGTCATTCACCATGAGATATTGCTTGACGTAAAATGATGGTATCTCGTGCTCTCAAGGACATTATGAATGCCGATAAGTTTTATACAACTTGACTGTTTTCGTTTATTCTTAACAATTAGCATTTTCCCTTACCATTTGCGCACCGCTCATAATACACTATTCTGCGCCAGCATAGACGATTTAACTTCTAAGAAACCTTCAACAACCAGCCATCAGCCTCAGTCTCACCCTTCGCATTGACACCACCCCACATCAGAATTCCCTTGCCATTCAAGCATGTGTCTGCGCCAAAGTACCCTCTCGGACCAGGATGAACCTTTCCGGCCTCCTGCGTCATCTCCGCTGGAGCAATCTCAAGTTCATGCCAGCTAAACGCACCAGACTCGACACCAGGAATAGCACCACGGATGGCGTCCTTCACGCGCGTAGCGCTGTATTCGTCGGAGGGTAGCTGCAGAGTCCACATGTCGGAGTAGAAGGGGTGGTCTTCAGTGTATGTCTTGTCTGTGGATGCGATCTCGGCGTCTTGGCGGCTGCCGAGGAGGTACAGAAGGTAGCGACGTCCGAGGCCGGTTGTGACGGGGACCAAGGCGCTGCCTACGCGGGGTCTAGGGCCAGGAACGATAGGATTGGAGGGGAAGTCGACGGTTGTCCATTCGGGAAGTTTGTCGACAGATTCGTCTTGGATAGAACCGGGCTTGATGTAGTGGACTGAGCCATGGATATCGGACTCGGCGCTGATGGAGTACAGAGTTCCTTCGACAAATTGCGAGGCCAGAGGTGCAGCTGGGGCATCTGGTAGGACATGCCACAAACGTGTTGTGAAGTCAAACAGCCAGGTACCTGTGGATGGCTGATCGTTCTCGTAGCCACCGTGCAAAATCAGATTATCCTTCTTCGCATCGTAGAAGATCTGGTGGCTGTGTCGAGACTGAGGTGCCTTTCCAGCTGCATCTATCGCCGCCCATCGAGCAGCCGTGGGCTCCCATTCCCAGAGTGTAAACTCATCGTCAGCTGCATGACCCTCTGCATTCTGTCCACCAAAGACAATCATAGTGTTGCGACGAGCACATGCGGCATGGTTGACTCGTGGAGGTGGGATGTGTCCCTCGTCGCCAACGGCTGGGTAGCACGCGTACTCGCTATCGCCCTCGACTCTTTGTTCGCCCAGAATAGCGATTCCATGGACGTCATTGTTGCAGAGCTTGCCGTCGTCCTTCTTGCCGCCAAAGATGTAGGCCTTACCGTCGATCACGGTGACTGTGTGGTGGGAGCGTGCGAGGGAGAGCCTGTGTCTAAGTCAGCATCAGCATAAAATCTTGTCACAGTCCAGGTCGTCTTACGAGTTGTCCTTCTCTGGAGTTGAAGCAATCTGGCTTAGGACAGCTGTGAGAGGTTGTGTAGGTTTCGCGACCGTAGCTGCTGCGCCGACTTCGAGGCCTGTCGAGACGACCTGCTCTGCTGCGATCACACCTGCTGCGACTTCTGCCATTGTGTGTTGTGCGTTTGTTTAGTCTGGGAGTGGACGATAGATTTGTTGTTTGTTTGTTGTTCAACAGTCCGGTCGGATATAAGAAGGTCCAAGGGTGAAGTTGAGGATTGGAGCTGACAGTAACAGTGACAGCTGAGACATGACGTAAGTCCGGAAGCGGGCCTCCATGACGTAACTCGACTCGCGTTGGAATGCAAAGCGACTGAAATGACAATTGATTGAGTTTATTCTCAACAAGCCTGAGCTAAATACTGCGTCGGGATTCAAGCAAATTGGATATTCTTTACCGAAGGCTTGTCGCTGTTCTGTGTTGGGTCTTTTGGCTGCGGTTCCTGGACTAATGCTAGCTAACGCTATCAGCTGGACACTCTGACGTCAGACCTGCAATTCACGTCGCGTCGCGTTCGTCAAACCAACCTCAACACCAATTAATTCCCATGACCTCAAAGAAGGACCGCGAAAACATTGGGTACCGTCTCACATAACAATTGAGGGAAAGAACGTTGTTGGAAGCGCCGCAATTGCGACAAATGTACCGCACAGGGCAGCACGTAGAATTAGATAATACCAAGGTTAAGTCGGCTCAGACATAGCTCAACTCCCCAGTCAAAAATCTATATGGTCTAATGATGATCGCTATACACTCATATCATTCACTCATACATATATACGCGTTTCGCTTATTTGTTGCGAACCTCCCACTCGTAAACAGCCATCATGTAAGGTCCGTGGCCTCGGGTATCGTTGGGAACAACCTCAACCTCAGTGTAGTACTGCAAACAGTTAGTAAAGATCATATCATGGCATTGTAAAATGTGACTTACCTCGAAAGAAGCATCGCTGTTAAGAGATCCAACCTCGACGGTGCCCTCCCAGGTCAGAGTGCCGTTCTTGTGCTTGGTGACAAAGTCACGGTAGAGGCGCTTGTAGGCTTGCTTAGCAGGCTTGGTGTAGATCTCCTCCTCGAGGAAACCGCGGCGGAGACCAGCTAACCAGCCGTAGGTGAACATAGCAGAAGCGGAAGACTCGATGTAGTTGCCCTCAGCACCCTCGTACTCCTTGTTCATGACAATCTCCCAGAGGTGGCTCTCGTGGCCCTGGGCGCGGAGAAGAGCGGAGGCGAGATCCTTGTAGTAGGTGCGGAGACGCTTGTAACCGGGGTGAGACTTGGGGAAGACGTCGAGGACCTCGATCAGGGACCAGAAGTACCAACCGACAGCGCGGGACCAGACGAGAGGAGAAGCACCGTTCTTGGGGTTGGCCCAGACGGCGGTTTTGCTCTCGTCGAAACCGTGGACGGGAAGGCCGGTCTCCTTGTCAATGGTGACCTCCTGGATCTTGTCCCACTGGAGGACAATGTCGTCCCAGGCGGTGGTGTTCTTAGCATCGAACTCCTTGGTCCAGGCGGCGTAGAAAGAGTCGGCCATGAAGATACCGTCGAGCCACATCTGGTCAGGGTATGTAGGCTCACGGTGCCAGAAACCGCCAGTGGGAGTTCTGGGGTGCTGGTTGATTCTGTCACGGATGAAGTCGGCAGCCTTCTTGTACTTCTCCTCGCCAGTGCGCTTGTACCACCACAGCAAGTTCATGCCGATACGGTAGTTATCAAGCGAGTACTTGGTCATGTCGTACTTGATGATGGTTCCGTTGTCGGCGACGACCAAGTCCATCTGGTCGCGGTACCAGTCAACCAGGGTCTGGTTCTTGGTCAGCTCGATGGCGGCCTCGTAACCCTCGAAGACGACGGCACGACCATACCAGTAGGCACGCTGGGTCTCATGGTTGTTGCGAATCCAAGAGTCAGCCAGGTTGGCCAACAGGTTGTTGCCGAGGGCGACATTGGCCGAAGCCAGGGCGAGGCAGAGAGACTGGAACTTCATGGCGAGAAGAGACAAGGAACGAGAGTGAAGAAGTTGTCGACTCGAGATCGATAGTCTAAAATCTCCAATGACATCCAGTGGGCATTTTAAAGTATTTATTCATTTCGATTGAGTTGACATGGCGTGAGCACGATCCACTACATCCATGTTTGTTCATTTTAGATTAGGACGATGGTTCATCCGTGACATCTGACAGGCAGGCAATAACGCAAGTATCCAACGGATATCAAATTTCTTTCTCTCCTTTGCCACTTTTTATAGCTCACAATTACCGTCTTAGGTAGCATCGCCGGGGAACAGACCCTAAAGGAAGAAAGGCTTTCCACCAAGCGGATCGTTTCAGACTCGGCAGGGGACCCCGGGATCTGCATGAAGTGGATATCACCCCTGCATTGGCGACCGTTGAATTGCGATCGTGACCAACAGTCATGCAGAGATGCTCTTTTGCCTGAAAAGACCATGTCTTCCGCTTTTGCAGAAGCCGTTTTAAGCGTACTGCGGCTTGGCTGGACAGTGTGTTGCAGTATGCTACCCTACGGCAGATATTCATCTGAAGTTGGGACCAGATCTACTGCCATAGTAGACGATCTTATGGTGTTTATCTGCGCGTTAAGCTTAATTGGGTATCCCTTTCGTTTCTCTGCTGTTCTTTGGTCGCGTAACTGCAAGCGATACGCGCATACGAGGACATCGAAGTTAATTCGATAACATCCGCAACTGTATTTAATCCACCTATAAACTAACTTCCAAGTTACGCTATTAAGATTATGGGACCCTTCTAATCACATTCTATTTTTCTTTAATATCCACTTCCCGTGTATCCCGCCCCCAATACAACCCCCAATGTTCATACTCCTTCAAGTTTACAGGTCGTGACGAGCATGCTTACTCTTATGCCTAATCTTTTCTCCGTACTTGAATAGGACGAACGGGATGGGGATGAAGGCGATGGAGATGAATGCCAAGGTTGAACTAGCCCAACCGACCCCGAGGTTCTTGTACATAGCCGATGCGAATAGAGGCTACAAGTTGTTAGCAGGTCATCCGTATACCCTATAGTTGTGGAATGAACTTACGAAACCAGCACCGAATGAACTTCGGAAGAAATCATTGCCAGCGAGAACTGAAGCTGCATACTCAGGATACGCGTCGCTCAGGTAGTTCAGTACGGAATTGAACAGTAGGAACGCTCCGATAGAGAACCATCCGGTGCCGATGATGGGGACGATCCAGTGAATACTAGCACGCGACGACCAGCCGAACCAGAAAAGGCAGATAGGAATCGCAAAGGCACCGACGAATGAGGGAGGTAATCTCCACTCGGGCTTGAGTTCTCCATCATCATTGAACTTGGGTTCGATGTACTTGTGCTGATACCACACAAACGGGGGCAGAACAACAAAAACAGCAACCAGGATGCCGAGATAGGCAAGACCTTGGATGCCCAGAGAGAAGCCATAGATCTCACCGAAGACAATAGGGAAAGACTCGAACCAGATGTATAGCAGACCGTAGATGAGAGCGATGTAAAGGTTGAGAGCGAACACGATAGGCTCGCCCAGACTCAACTGGAAGGGTCGCACCAGGGTCATCAACGCGATGTCCTTCATGGACATGTCATGCGTGGCGAGCTCAGCCTCACACACGAGCTTGTCGTTGCCAGTGAGCTTTCGCAGGCGACGACTTCGGCGGTAAAGAATATTCGCGGGTGATGTCTCGGGGAGGAAAAAGAAGAAGAGCACGAGTGAGGCACCTGACAACCACATGAGTTCCCAAATAGTCCATCTCCAACCTCTTGCTTCAGCAGCAAAGCCTCCGACAAGAGGACCAAGGGTAGGACCACAGATGGCTCCGACACCCCAGACAGCAAGGCCATAGGTTCGCTTAGCTGGCTTGTACATATCGCCAATCGACGCTCCACCCGTTGCAAGTGACGGAGACCCGATGAAGCCGGTGATGAATCGGAACGCGAGTAGCATACCGAAGTTCGTAGCAAGGGCGGTAGGCACTTGAAGAACGACAAACAACGCCAATGTGATAATGTATACAGGGTTTCGACCGATCTGTGGGATCTCGGACAGCGGAGACCAGATCATGGGACCGAGACCGTAGCCTGCGACGAAGAGAGTGAGACCGAGAGTGGCAGCGACTTGAGAGACGCCAAACTCTTGCATGACATCTTTTAAACCGGCCGTGTAGATGGCTGAACCGATGTAGACGGAGAATGTGAGGAGGCAGATCTCGAACGTGATGAAGAATCTCTTGATTCGCGACCAGTTCCTGGGGTTCTATATCTGTCAGTATATAGTAGCGCCATGGAGATAGAGGACTTACTTCAGAATCATCAGGGCCATACCAGTCCACGACATGAACATCCTTTCCCTTCTCCTTGTCAACAACACGCCCACTGACTTCATTCACGGTCCTTCCCTCTCCCTCAGAGACAGCTGTATCCGAAGAATCAGACCTCGTCTGCTCTCTCCTCTCACCCTCAGGAGCCTGCGGCTGACCATGCCTGGCCATATTACCCGACTTCTCAACGTGTACGTATTTCTTCCATAGCGATGGATCTTCTTCCTCGGGATACTTGAACACTCTCCCACCCGTCAGCAGACGTAGGATATGGCTGAAAATAGTATCGCGAAGTAACTCCTTCATGTTGAACGCCAAGATGGATTAACCTGAACAAGAGGCCAAGAAACCCAAATTGGGATTTGAGGCGTCCATTCTATAGAGAAATGATACCGTATATGTCGTCATGATCATCGTGTCATAGAAAGGCACGGTAGTCTACCTCGTGGATCACTAAATTGGATCTACGCACAGAGCTACGCACAGAGCTTTGTCTTCTTTTCTCTGTTAGTGAGAGATTCGGAAGTGCAGGAGGCAACGGGGATCGATCATCGTCGGTAGATCTTGATCGGGTCGAGCCGTGCTGCAGAGTCTAACCAATGGTGTACCTAACTTGGTTTGGTAGGGTCTTTTTACAATGGAGTCGTGGTGGAGTTTTTGGTGAGGTCATGGACGTTAGGAGGTTTAATGACGCCTATGACTTTTTGAGCACGACGTAGTTTACCGCGACCCTTGATTTGTTCTCTCTGTCGATTTATACTTTTTTCGTTGATGATTCTTTAATGAGTCGATCGAGATTCTGTCAGCCTTGCATGACTCGGGTGTTTAATGTAAGTGACTAAGGTTCTGATGTTCTAACCTGGTAACAATTTGGACGTGAAATGACGCTTCACCGTAAAGGTGCCCCGACTGGAGGATACTACGACTGTGGAATTGAAGTCTGATGAGAACATTGGACGCACGAATCTAAAAGAGTCGCTACCATGCTCTAAAAAGGGAAAAGAACAAAAGAAAATAATAATAATAATAATAA